AAGTTTTGTGTGGAGTTAGTTCAGTTGAAAACAGTCACATATGTAAATATATGCATAATAAATACACTTTCATTTGTCAATACCTTATGTATTATGTAGCATACAATAGATATGTTAATATATATCCATATACAAATGTGTCTATTTATATCTGTATGCTTATAGGTATGTACATCTCGATTTAAAAATATAGATATGTTGGCATCCATATATTTATTTAAATTTCTGTGGGCACCTGGGTGGCTCATTCGGTTGAGCACCCGACTCTTCATTTCAGCTCAGGTTGTGATCTCATGGCTTGTGAGATCAAGCTCCATGTCAGGCTCTGTGCTCACAGTGCAGAGCCTGCTTGGGACTCTCTCCCTTTCTCTCTGACCCTCCTCTGCTCATGCTCTCTCTCTCTCTCTCTCGAAATAAATAATCTTTTAAACTTCTATAATCTGTATGCAGCTATATACATATATAATACATGTGTATCTTATACACATATGTCTTACATATATGTCTCATACCCACATGTATGTATACACACACACACACACACACACATCTGATTGGATGATGCAATTTCTCAAGATCCAACTGGTCATCGTGACTTTCAATAAATGTACATTGAACATGAGAGGCACGTGCAGTTACTATCAATTACTCTTTGGCACTCTGGATGCTTGCAAAGGTGATGCATCACTAAGAGAGACATTCTGCTTTCAGTGGGAGCGCTGTGATTAGCATAAATGCTGCCAGGCTCCAGTCCTCACCCTCCACCCCTAGTATCGATGGGCTGGCCGTGGGCTGGGGATTTCTGAGACATCCACCCTGTTTATAGGTCATCTTTCTACACGGTTACGTTCTTTCTTCAAGCAGAACATACCCCTAGGGGAAAAAATGATGAACTCTGTAAGGAAAAACCAGTTAATTCATTGAGAAAATGGTCCTAAACCGTGTGTTTGCTGTCCTGGGGTCGGGGCTGTAGGTCCTTGAGACCAAGTGGGCATTGGCCTGCCGCCATCTTGAAAGCTCTTCCAGTGAGTCAGCAACTGTGCATCCCAGCTCTCAATTCAAATGAGAATTGCTTCGAAGTCAAGGACAGGTTGACCGGCCTGTGGGATCACAGGCACACATGAGTCGCTTAATGTTCAAGTGTTATTATCAAAGTGTAGATTGATGACCCTCCTTATCAACAACAGAAGCCATGTGGCAGGCTGCAAGCGTCCTTGGAAATCAGCACTGTGGCTTCTTGGAAAAGCAGAATTCATTTAATTCCCTTAAACCACGTCCGCAATACAGAAATGGGATAAAAAGAAACAATTCTTAGATGAAAAAAGGAAACTCGAAGAAATTTAGATGAGTCGATTTACAAGACAAACCTGTAACAGGATCTCCCAACAGGACTTCTATATCAAGCCTGCACTTTAAAACAAGTGGTATTTCTAGAACATTTAAATAACCCACAAAATGGCCAGGTGTGTACCTGTGACCCACAAGGCGATCCACTGGGAAGGAGATTTTCCGCAGGAGAATTTGAGTCTTAGGCTTGGCTGCAGCAGGACATTGATTATGGAGAGCCCGGCACTCGGGCCATTTCCTTTCCTTGGTAATTCTGACTTTCTGATTCCTAAATTTATCTGCTGCTCAGAAGGTAAGTACCTTTACTTTCTTCCATTGCTGTATTTTCTACATTTCTCTTTTGTCTGAACTTACGCCAGTTTCTCTTAAAAAAATTGTCTTGAATGCATTATTTGTTTAGGGTTCACATCCAACCTGCTCCTAGAATCAGCTGAATCAGTCTGTGAATTAAACATGAGGTGACTTTTGAGGGAGTTCAAGCAGGGAGGCTGTGAGCTGAGCTGAGCTGAGCCAGACTTTGGGCAAATGAGTTCAGCTCTTGACACATAAGAAGAAACACAGAAGTACACATGCCTCCAAAAATTCCTCTTATGGGACGCAATGGGCAAACGACCTTGTCCTAGCCTCGCTGGTGATAATGCAAACCTCCTCCTCCCTCCGCCTCTCCTCCTCCATCTGGTGCATCCCAGCGTGATCCTGAGCTCATCTAGAACATTACCCTCGTCGGGTCCCATTTACAGTGCAAGGCTGGGTCTGTCCTCCATCCTTGAGAAAAAGACCGTGCAGACATCCATGTCCTATCGTCCTGGTCCTTGACATCTTTCTCCCTCCTGCCTTGCATCCTCACTGAGCAGGGGAGCCCACGGGCACGTGACCATTCTGAGACAGTAGAGCCCCCAAGCACCCTCTCACATTCTTACGGGAACAGGCTTGTTACGATTCTCTGTTCCAGTTGAAATAATATGGCGCCACCCCCCACCATTTGCTTCTTTCTAAGATTTACAAAAAGTAGGAGTTGGATTTGTCCTGCCTCTCTGGCATACTTCTGCAGGCTGGTTATCCCATTCCCTAACCTGCTTCATCAAGGCTGTGATGGGCCTTCATGAATGATAATGACCTCCAGTCCTTTCTTCACTTTGTCTCTCTTTTGGAAGATAAAGATAAACATCCATTTGTTATCATGATTGTTTCCCTTCCCATAATTGATTAGGGGCACTTGCTTTCTCTCCACCCTGTCTGTAGGCATCATCTTTCAGTCGGGATCTTGGAATAACGTACCCTTGGCTGTGTTCACGGCTGTAGGACTGCTTCTGGCACATTCTACCTTGTGTCAGTCTCTTGCTTTAAACGGCCACAGACTCCTTCTTGAAAGAATTCTAAAAGCACAGCAAAGAACAAATAAAATCCTCACCTGTCTCCATTGTTTGTAATTTTCCATCTCATATTGATTACAGTGTCAGGTTTGCGTCTGTTTCATCTGCTAGGGCATCAAACCCTCTCAGCCCATGTTCTCCAAAGTTATTTTTGTCTGTTTGTTTGTTTTCGTTTTTGTTTGTTTTTTTGGAGTCTCCCTCAGACATGCTTAGGCTTCAGTTTTTCAAGCTTGTCTTTGCACACTCCCGTGCCCCTGTGCTGTCTGATGTGGGCAGTCCCCTGCACCCCTCCTCTGCCTCTTCCATGTGGTCCCTGAGCCTAGGAATGGAGAACCATGTGACTCTTTGGAGTCTTGTTTTGTTCTTTCCCTTTAGAACTCTCTGCCCTTTCCTTAGTCATAAAAACAAAACAGAACAGAACAAGCCTCTTCCCCGTCTGACATACCTTTCTCAGTTACCCAGTTTACTGCCTCCTGTTTATACTCCTTGATTCTTCTGATACTCAACTTACGTCTTTCACTATTTTTTTTCCCCTCAAGGGGTGTCCAGATTAGCAGCTGGTGATCATTTGCTACCACTTCTAGTAATGGTCTTAGGAGAGTTACCTACCCTTGACATTTCACTTTACATTTAGAGAGGAGATCCCAAAACTTAGCTCTTTTCAATGTCATGGTGACCAGGCCAACAAGCAGACTGAGTTACGGCAAATCAACACCCCGTGGAGACTGGGGTTCCATTTGATTGGAGAGGGCATTGCTGTGCCAACAAACGCAGGGCTTCTTACGTGGGGCAGCGCGTGATTCAAACCGTCCTGGATCGCGCAGCATCTGCTCTGTCCACCCGGTTGGTTCCTCACCACGTCCTGTTGGTTCACTGCATCCTGGCTTTGCACCTTCACACTTCCGCCCGGTCCAGGCACTGAGTGACCGGGGACCCAATTAAGGAAGCGGTTTCCTGGCCTGCCTCCCGAACGGTAGTCTCCCTATCTCACGTTTAGCTTCCACATTGATTCCTGAGTGGTCCTTCAACCGCAAACATTGGGTCAAGGTCAGACTGCAAGCAGTGCAAGCTCACGAGGCGTCCCTTCACCTTCCGGGTAAAATTCACATTCATGAGGCACAACTGGCCCGTGTCTGGCTCCCCAGATTGTGTGTTACCTCTTCCATCTGCAATGGAAGTGCCACACTTTGTCTAGCCACGGCGCCTTGCCACGGTCCCCTCCCACTGCCTGGAGTGTCTTTTTTTCCCCCTCAGGTCAGCAAAATCCTCCGAGTGTCAGATGGCGCTTCCTCCAGGAAGCCTCACTGAATTCTATTCTTCCTTTAAAACTTACATTAGATGTCACCTCCCTTGGGAGGGCTTCCTACGTTTCTTCCCTTCCCCTCCCCTCTGCAGGTAGTAACATATTGTTCTATGGATAGCTCTATGTTAGTTGTTATGGCCCTGTATTTTCATTTTCTGCTAAGTGCTTAGATCGTGACCTCTGGCACCTGTCTGCCACAGGATATCTAATCAGTAAATGCTTGCTGAATGAATGAAGGGCTTTGTAGCTCAGAAGTCCGTGAACTATTATGACCATGCCCCAGATTTTCTATGCATGTTCTGCAAGCACGAAACATATTCAACTCCGGGTCGACACCCAGCATGGGGTTTCTGCTGGGCATCCTTTCCTTATTAGTTACATTTTTACTTTTGCATAAAGAATCAAAAATATTTGTAGATTCTCATCATGTATGTAACAACGGTTTGAAAACTTGATGTAAAACTTGTTGCAATTTGTATCCAGAGTTTCACATGTGACCCTTCCCTTTGGAGAAGCATTTGTAACTTTTTTTTTTTTTTTTTCCCAAAGTTCTGGAGAAGTTTTCTAAGACACTGTTTCATGAGCGGTATCTCATAGCTTCCTTTTATTTATTCTCCTAACACATGTCAAAGGTGATTTAAGGTTTGCAGTGTTAACAGGTACAATTTGAAATGAAGCCACATTCATCACAAGACACATGCTTTGAGCTTTTAATTGAATGTATATTTATCTTCATAAATGTCTTCTATTGAACAAGTAGTATGCAGGTAACGAAGGTCAGATTATTTAACAGTTTTGTTGTCATTTTTTGGTCAATATCTAAAAGGTTTTTTGTTTGTTTGTTTTCTTTTTCTCTTTAGTGGTTAATTATCATTTAATATGTTAGCCGATCAGAATATATTCAGATTAACCATTCCTTTTGTGTTCAGGACTTGGTAACATGTTTCTTGTGATTTTTTTTTTTTTTTTCTTCTCAGGAGGAATGTCAGAACTACATCCGGGTGCTTTTGGTGGGTGGCGACCGGTTATTTACCTGTGGGACCAATGCTTTCACGCCTGTCTGCACCAACCGCTCGGTAGGTGTTCATTTTGAGCGTTGACAGAATTTAATACTGGGAAAATCCAAACATTCTATTAAAACTGTAGTTTTAGGGGCGCCTGGGTGGCGCAGTCGGTTAAGCGTCCGACTTCAGCCAGGTCACGATCTCGCGGTCCGTGAGTTCGAGCCCCGCGTCGGGCTCTGGGCTGATGGCTCAGAGCCTGGAGCCTGTTTCCGATTCTGTGTCTCCCTCTCTCTCTGCTCCTCCCCCGTTCATGCTCTGTCTCTCTCTGTCCCAAAAATAAAAATAAACATAAAAAAAAAACAAAAACAAAAACAAAACTGTAGTTTTACATGTATGTCTATTCCCTAAGGAGTCATTTTTTTAATTAAAAAATATATTTTTCAAACTCAATGTTCAATGTATTGATTTATTACTAATCACATCATCTATTATATAAAGAGCTGAACATAACTATAACTTGTTTAATTAAATTTAAATATGTTTCTAAACTGCTTCTATCAGCTCTATCCCCACCAGTGATCCTGAACACAAATCCTCAACATGCTCTTCATTTATCTTGATTTATTATAGAGATACTGCGAAGTATATAAAAGGGCCTTAAAATCATAATTCAAAGGAAGAAAATAGAATTTACAAGTTGGATGAGAGCAACGTCAAAAAACATTAAAACAAGCAAACAAACGAATGAAGCCCTAGGCAAAGTGAACTTCCAACCTGTCCTTTTCCTTTTTCTTTCAACCTGTCCTGTGACCGAAGAATTTCTGGCACCCGTGTCTTACACCTGTAGGTCAGAGCACATGGGCAGTCTTCCTAGTTGGAGATATTGGTCTGGTGTTCCACAGGGAGCATAATGAAGAATTACCATGATGTTCATTTCCTGGTCACACGACTCCTCTCAAAGCCTGAATTTATTCATCTGCAATATTTCCAAGCTAGCATTCAGTTATTGGAAATATAGGGAGGATGACAAGGAGGATCACAGAGGGAGCCCCCAGTATCACACCCCGTTCTAAACGCTTTGCACCTACTCGGTTATGGAACCCTGACATCTACCCCATGTGGTGGTTACCCTTTGGTCTCTGTTGTCCTAGGAACTTTTCTCGTTCAATGATTGGTTGGGAATCCAACATCTGAGAAGCTGGGTTCACAGCCGATGGCCTGCAAGACACAGAGTTGTCTGTCCGAAAACTGACATAGTAGAGTCTTGGAAATTGGGGCTATGGGGTACAAAATAGCACGCACCCTTACCTGTGAGCACAGTTCGGGGCTATTCATAACGTTTGAATTCACTTACAGTGATACATTTGTGCTTAATCTTTATTGTGGTTTCTATTTATATAAATACTGAAATTTGCTTCATTAAAGTGGAAAGATCTGCAGTGCCCATGCCTTATAAACAGAACCCACACACAGAAGTCTTAACTTGGTATTTGTGAATTCAGTGGCACCCTGTCCAGCCAGTCTGAGGGGACAGTGAGAGAGATGACGGGTGGATTCTCTGTCCACGTCCTCTGCCGGATGTTGCCATCAGCACGGGAGTGTGAACATTTGTCGTGTCTTACCCTGAGCCCCAGAGTTTGTTGCACCATGCCTTATTTGCAGTTCAGGAGGACCTAATCCATTAACACAATTAAAGGGCTTTCACGAGCGATAATTGGTTTCCTCTGTCTTGCCCTTGCCCGTAGTTGAGCAACCTGACCGAGATCCATGATCAGATCAGTGGCATGGCCCGCTGTCCCTACAGTCCCCAGCACAATTCCACGGCTCTTCTCACGGCCGGCGGGGAGCTCTACGCTGCAACAGCCATGGATTTTCCCGGACGGGATCCTGCCATTTACCGAAGTCTGGGCATCTTACCTCCTCTCCGCACGGCACAGTACAACTCCAAATGGCTTAATGGTGAGTGTTACCGGCACGGCTGATTCCCCACCTCCTTCTTCTGTAATGCCTGGTTACTTCATGCTTTGCAAGCAAACTCACAGCTTCTGAAGACAAACAATTTCTTCATTTTCTTTTTTAAACGTTTATTTATTTTGAGAGAGAGAAAGAGAGAAAGTCAGAGAGCGAGGGAGAGGGAGAATGAATCCCGACAGCCTCCATGCGCTGTCAGCACAGAGCGCGACGTGAGGCTCGATCTCATGAACTGTGAGATCATGACCGGAGCCAAAATCAGGAGTCAGTTGCTCAGCTGTACCACCCAGGCGCCAGTTTCTTCATTTTCTAAAGAAACCAAATATAACTTGTTTTGTACATCTGTGTGGAAGGGCATTGTATGTGGCTCTGTAGTAGGAGGAGGGAAGAGAGATGGTCAACACTGTGGACCAGAATAATGGGGCTAATGGTGACCTGACTATTCATGGACCTTAGGCTGCTTTTTAGGCTATTGTTTGAAGTTCAGGAAATTTGATGTTGTATCAGAGATATCTGTACATCCATATACATTCTTTCTTAACTTACCATAAATGTAAAAAAGGGGAGTTACAAGCATTTTATGGAATTTTCAGACACCGTGTAAGAGAATGCGTTTGGCCACACGTGCTCCAAAGAGCTTGATCAATGTCAGAAAAAAGGCTGTCAAGTCACACAAATAGAACTTTGGGGTAGGTGTCTTCAGAGTTCCTTCCCTCAGTGGCTCGAGAGTCAGTTAGCACCCCAGCCTCGTCACTGATGTGTCCCTGCCGTCCAGTGTTCCGTGTGGTCCTCGGGCTGGCTCCGCTGGGGGTGGATGGGTAGTCAGCACTCCATTTTCAGGCACTGCATCCAGATATGACGATATCCAATAGGAGAAGAGGCCGTATTCCTTGTGTCTTGTCTTGTCTTTTCCTTTCCTTTCCTTTCCTTTCCTTTCCTTTCCTTTCCTTTCCTTTCCTTTCTTTTCTGTTCTTTTCTTTTCTTTTCTTTTCTTTTCTTTTCTTTTCTTTTCTTTTCTGCAAAACCAGAAACCCCTAGAAGACCCTAGAAGACGTCCTTTCAATCCTGGACTAGAAGAAGTTGGTCACCTCCTCACTAAGCAGAGAGAAGGTGCTACCAACCATCTGAATAGAGGTTGACCTCATACGATATCCTCATGTGTGCCAGCTGAAATTCATCCCTCTGTATGTGTGTATGTTCATGTGTCAATGTGACCACACACACACACACACACACACACACACACACACACACACAGTGTTAAATGGATAGATCCATGTACCACCTGTCATCCCTCTGACAATTTGTACGAAGACAAAGTTTTGAGCTTACCATTATACTTTTTCTTATTTTGAGCTTTCGAGTTCTATGAAGATTTACTGGCCTTTTGTCAAGTACAAGCAAATTATGGGGACCAGAATTTCCCAACCTCCGCACTATTGACGTTTTGGAACAGATAATCTTGGAATTTTGGAACAGATAATTCTTTTTTTTTTTTTTTAATTTTTTTTTTCAACGTTTATTTATTTTTGGGACAGAGAGAGACAGAGCATGAATGGGGGAGGGGCAGAGAGAGAGGGAGACACAGAATCGGAAACAGGCTCCAGGCTTTGAGCCATCAGCCCAGAGCCTGACGCGGGGCTCGAACTCACGGACCGCGAGATCGTGACCTGGCTGAAGTCGGACGCTTAACCGACTGTGCCACCCAGGCGCCCCATGGAACAGATAATTCTTTGATGTGTGTGGTGGGAGGCCGTCCTCGTTATCAGAAGGTGGTTCTCAGTATCTCTGGCTGGTACCCACTAGATGCAATAGCATTCCCTCCCCCCACCTCATTGTGCCAATAAAAAAAGTTCCAGAACTTTCCAAATCTCTCTTGGCGGGGTGGTGCCTGTGGTTGAGAATCACCGGCTTAGGCTCATCATTTATGTGTATTTATGTGTACATGTGTATACAAACAGGACGCAAGCATTTTGCCAAATAATGTAGTCAAACCAACCATCAATTTGCCTTTAAAGAACCCCCTTGTAGAAAAGAGAACGTCCTCATCAGCTTTCTCCAGTAGTTTGAATGTGCTTCCAGTAATGTGCTTCTGGAGGGCAACATGAGTTGTTTTCCTAAACTGAAGCCGTAACTAGCTTTTCTTCATTAACATTATTTTTGTTGAACTGGTTTCAGTCCCCTTCAGGCCCTGAAGCTTTCATCTGTGGAGCTTAAAGTTCCTCTTTCTAGTCATTTGTTGATTTTTCTGGCCAAGCAAAGTTTCCAGTGAAAAATCAAAATTACCTGCCCCCAACCAAAGGCACTGTAATTAGAGTTCGTTCAAAACAAAGTAAAAAGCAATCAGGAAGACCATGTACCGTCTCTCTTTTTTTCCCCCCAAAAGTGACCCCCTGAAGAGTATCCTGGAAACATAATTCAGGTCACGGCACGAGCTACAAACATTGGCTGTTCCTTTGCACGTGACTCAGATACCCACTGGCTGATCAGATGGTCCGATTCTGTCAATGTTGGGGCGGAACCCTTGCTGTCTGAACGTCAGGTGACCTGAGAAGGGCAGCGGGGGACCTAACTGCTTACCATAGTCACTGTGGGCACGCTGTCATTATTTGTCAAACATACTGAGTAATGTTTTGGGTTCCTCAAATGTGCTGCTATTTATATGTGATCTAATCCAACAACTGCAGCGATGGAAAATAAGTCCGAGGTAAACATGGTAGAACTGTCCCTCAGCCCACCTTCTCATCTTCGTCCCCGGGACACCGAATGGTCTGCTGCCCTCAGCTCCACCCACCCCCACCCACCCGCCAAGGAAGGCCCCCCCTCTCGGGGCGGAGAGCAGAGAGTTCCTGTGTGTTGAGTGTTGCTTCCATCTCCTGTGTCCTGTTGGGGCACTGCCGCCTTCTACTGAACCCCAAGATGTTGTTTCTACTCCTGGTTGACCCTGGTTTTCTGCTCCGACTGACCTTTCATCCAGGATAGATTCTGGCCCTTAACCGCACACAGTTCTGCGTCTGTCCCCACACTGAGCCTGGATATAGGGACATCTGTCCTCACTGGCCTGCCTGGATGCAGGGACATCTGTCCTCACTGGCCTGCCTGGATTCAGGGACATCTGTCCTCACTGGCCTGCCTGGAATCCATACTTTACATCCCGTCTTCTCCTTCCTTCTTGACCAGACACCCTTGTCTCAGTTCTTTTCCGCTGTGTTCCAGAGTGATTTTCCTTCTTCATTTGAGATCGTTGCTGTACCTGTTATCCCTTCCTTTTTTCGTTGTTGTTTTCTTGTTTTTTGTTTTTGCTATGGCCTTAGATTTCTTCCTCTCGAGGGAGGACTTCCATCTTTTTATCAAACAAGCTGAAAACAGAGTTAGTGCTGCCGTATCAAGAAGGGGTCCTATTTCCGGTTGTGATTTTAGGGACCCGTTCAGTGAGGCTCTTACATTCCTCTCCAGAGTTTTCAGCTGATTGAGAATCAAGGCACGGAGGGGACAAATGGAGATCAGAGGTTTGGATTTACTTGCACGAGTGGTGAGCGGGTGTGCTGGGAAACCCAGAGCTGGTGTGCTCGGTGGAGAATGTACAGACCACGACCTGCCCGCTGAGGAGGCACAAGCCTCTCATGCGGGGTCGGCAGGCAGCTCCCTCCACATCCAGGCTCCCACTTTGGGGCGTGGGAATCCCGGGGCCTTTTGACTGAAGATGCGGTTTCGTGATGCTCACTCACAGAAGTAAAGCAACAGGGCTTATGACTTACACATCTCAGACGGTCACTCCACTAACAGCTACTCACATATGATGATAACCAGAGCTCGCTTCTTTGTTTTAGAGATTCTTTGGTTTGGGCCAACATTTTTGCTTGGAGAGAGAGAAGGGTCTCAGCAGGCGAGGTGTGGAAGATAGATAGTACCTATTAACTAGGATCGGCACAATTTTTGTGTTCAGATTCGGTGCTGGGGATCAATTTGTGCCCAGGACCACTTGCCCACACACAGACGGGGCCCTTTCCATAGTTCAGCTAGTTACTTTATATCGGGAAAACTTGGTGGTCTTCGAAGACTCGGGGAGGGGACCCTTCCTTGCCTCTTCCAGCTCTGGTGGCCCCAGGTATCCCTCGGCTTAGGACCACATCACTCCAGTCTTTGCCTCTGGGTTCACATGGTCTTGTCTCTGTGTATCTTTGCGTCTTCACTTGGCCGCCTTCATGTAAGAACCGGTCGTACTGGATTAGGGGCCCCCCATACTCCAGTGTGACCTCATCTCAACTAATCCTATCTATCATGACCCTGTTTCCAAGTAAGATCGCATTTACAGGTACTGAAGGTGAAGACTTCCAACATTTCTTTTTTGGGGGGAGGGGCGGATCCTATTCAAGCTCTAACGGTGCCCTGATCAGGAAATGCTCAAATGTTGACATCTTAAGCTCCTGCACCTTATTTCTGATGGGAGTCCTACCTCTCCGTCTGTGCTAGGGGTGGGTACATCCTCTGCCCACTCCTTAGTCTCCTTGACTAAGCACACAGTGCTATCTTCGCTTTACCGAAGGGACAGCTATTTGTCATCTGTCTCTTCCTTGCGTCCACTTACACCTTCTCTGTCCACGGTGCCTCTCTCCTCCATCCCATGATCTCTGGGGCAGGAGTGCCCCCTCCTAGGCAGCATACTGAAATGGATTGGATCTCGCTTATTCTGAGTCGGAACTATTCCCTCTAAGGACTGTAGTGAAGTCTTAACAGAAACAAGTGCACTGACGCTCCGGTCTAAGCACACAGGCACAAAGGATGTTCTTTAGGATTTCAGGACATGTAGACAGAGCACAACAGGCCAGGGACCTTTGGCCACCCGGCCTCTCAGGAACCTCTGTGCTTCAGGGTTTATCTTCAGCCAGATGGTGACATTGGGCTGTCCAGGCTCACTTCCTGCCAGGATACAAGGACCCACCAAGCCTCGAATGTCCCCAAGGACCTAGCACAAGCACCTGCTATAG